ACATTGACAAACACACTCACACACTCCTCTGGCAGATATCCTCTCTGGTGAAGTCTTTCTCTCAAACATCCGACTCTCCTCTCAGGTAACGTACACATTAGGCCCTGGCCTCCTCTATATCCTCTTTGCTTGATTTTCTATCTCTTCCTCTCCTCGCCTAATGTTCTCCCCCCCCTCCCTTCCATTCGTGAGGTGCGGTGATGTTTGAGGGCTGCTGTGATGACCGCCTCAGGCTCCGTCACCACCGCTGCCCTCAAACATCACCGCACCACTTCCTTGCTGCGGCTTCACAGTGGACCCACGCTGCAGAGCATGCTGGGAGCTTTTCATAATCCCACAAACACACTAACACTGTCGCTCACGGTTAGCAGCACATCTGCCAGCTGCCAGAGGGGGAGCGAAGAGAGACGCCGCACACAGACGGACGCACACACGAGCAGAAGCAGCAGATTGCATCCAAGGTGATAGATAGAGCACTGTGGGAAGGAACTGTGCCTGTTCAATTACAATCATTACTATCACTTTGGGGGATTTGTCATGGTCAAAGTGAGTCGGAGCTGTGGAGAAACCACCTTGAGGGCCTGTGAAGTGGTGTTATTTTCACATTTTCATTAAAAGAGCTACGACGTCTTGAAAACACTCTCCCTATCGAAAATGACACACATTAAAACATAAATTAATTATGCCCCAAATTACAAACAGATGCTTAAAAATAATCTCTCAACGTTACATAACTGACTCTTTAAAAGCACTTGGCACCTTAAGAAAAGTAATCCACTTAATCTGTCAACTTCTTACAAGGCATGAAAGGAGAACATTTGGATGTGTCTGCTGTGCTTTCACCGTCTTCCCCGGGATGGACAGGGGGAGGCCATGTGGCCGGGTGGGCTGTCAGTCAAAGCAGGAACTGTTAGATGCAATTAGAGCGAGGCTGGATGGTGTGATAGCGGCGAACAGATGACCGAGGCCTCGCTGTCACTGGTTGACTGACAGAGCGGAGAATGGAAGACAAGGAACACACACACCGCTGTGGAGTCCAACATGAGACCTCCACTGTTTGGACCAGTTGGTATCTGCTCTAATAAAATGATTACAGGACACTTTAGAAAGCTTAATGGATTGGATCAACTGTGTTTTAGAGCTTTTGTATTGATGTGTTGTAGCTTAGTGGGTAAACTATGACCTTATGCTTTGTTACTCCACTGTACTCATAGTTTTTGAGCTTGTGTGTGTTTTGTTAGCGGTGATGTTGAAGAAGAATGAATGAAAAACACTGTTTAATGTCTGCAGATAGATAATACTGGCAGATCAACTGAATTTAAGTAGGCTACATGCATAGATGTATCAGAAATTATAAAAAAACAACCTTTTTGTTTCACGAAAAGAAGATTAAGACTACAAACTACAAAAAGACCACATAAGCATTACAATGGGATTTTATACGGTTGAAACTGTTATTGGATTATTGAGGCCAATAACGAGATTAAGAAATGTGTTAACAATAATCGCAAATAGGATAATTTCTACATTAACAGGTTAGCAGTCTTAATATGGATGCCTTAGATTTGCTTTTTTCACAATTTATTTCACAACATACATATTAATTGGTACATTTAACAGTCTAAAAGTCTACGTGTGTTCTCTGGTAGAAAAAAAGGGATTTAATGGTCTCCATGTTTTAAAATGGCCACACCTAGCTTGGCATTTCTGAACTGCAGGTTGGTAATTATTGGCAATATAGCTGAAATTATCCTATAGTGGCCAATGTATTGCCTCTAATTTTCTTACATTAGTGGTTGGGTAATTCAATTAGGGCTGTAAACACTAAGAAAATCATTCTAATTAAGATCAAAATGGAATATATTGACTAAATAAATAGCTTGAGGCCTACTACGCCAAAGTTGAAACCAGTTTTAGATTCGACAGATTAGGTCATCAATCACTATTCAAACATTTAGCATTGCATGTGGATTACATTATAGATGAAATGATCCCGTACTGACTTAGAAAACACACTCAAAACACTGCAACAGAGGAGATGAGTCTGTTAGCTATAGAAACAGGTGGACAGTAATTCCCTTTATTCATGGAGGCCTATATGACTTAGTGTATCACTATGGCTATACATTAGATGTCATATGTTACTGATCACTCAGCACTGAAAAACTTTGACTTTAATCAAACCTGGTATGTCAACCGATTTCACATCGATGTATTAGGTTAGTAGAAAGCAATAATATTTAAATTACAATATTGGGTTCAATTTAATAGTATTGCTTTCAACTAACCTAATACAGTTATATGAAATGTGTAGACATAATACATTTAATTAAAGTCAACGGTCCAGTTATGTCAGTAAGGCCTGTCAGCGCGGCTGAACTTTTTTAACTATGGGTCATGACCTTTGTACATCTGGGGTTTGCGGTTGAAACAAGAAACACACCACGCTCGCGCTCACAGATCTAATATTCCTCTTTCCTCCATTAGAGTCATGGATCTCCAGTTTGAGAAGAGACATCAGTGTCTGGGTGAATTTTCTCTGAACCCTGATTTCATGAGGATGAGTGAAGACTTTAGTGTCCACTGCTTCCACATGACGCCTATTCGTGCTCTCTGACTCGATACACCCAGATGCTGCCCGAGATGAAAAGCTGCCCAGGACCCTGTCATTTACAAATGAGAGGCCTTTCTCCATCTTTCTGCTCATGACATGAAAGAAGGTCTCTGCTCTCCTCTCTTTTCACCTCCTCTCAGTTGGGAAGTATCCATTCATCACAGTCAATCTGTTAATTGTCAGTGTGTGTGTGTGTGTGTGTGTGTGTGTGTGTGTGTGTGTGTGTGTGTGTGTGTGTGTGTGTGTGTGTGTGTGTGTGTGTGTGTGTGTGTGTGTGTGTGTGTATGTTGTGTGTGTGTGTGTGTGGAGGTGATCTCCAATCTGTCGTGATGTTGTCACCTCACAATTCCTACATGCCTGATCCAGATGTATTCATCCAGAATGCCTTCTACACACAAACACACACCGATCATCATCGTCTCATTGTTTTTCTCCCTCACACATGAAGAAGCACACACAGATTTACCAGATCCCATTGTGCAGAGTTGCTTCTATTACTTACACACGGACACCCACACACATAGGTCATGTCATGCTTATTTCTCACACACACACACACACACACACACACACACACACACACACACACACACACACACACACACACACACACACACACTATCTCCGTCCCTCCGCCTCTCGCACATTTTTTTTCTGTCTCTCCAGCTAATTTCTCTCGCCTTCATTGCTCTCCCTTCTACTCGCAGCCGTCCGCCGCTTCCCTGCTTAGCCGTGTGTCCTCATGCACAATCACAAATGCACACAATACACCACACACCCCCCCAGAACCCCCATCGTTCCCAGCCAGTCATCCTGAACATCCCTCTGTGGGGTAAGTAGATAGGAGGCTGTTGAGACATGTACACTGTAGTACCGGCCCTCTGAGGATAACGGCTGTCCCACCGCTGGGAGCGACTACAGGAGGAAGGGTTCAGATGAGAGTGAGCCTGGATAGAGGAGTAATTGCCAAGCCTGTGAGTTTTTGTGTGTGTGTATCTGTGAAAAGTGCAGTAGAAGGGTGGTGTGAGGAGATGGAAAAAGGGTGACAAAGACAGAGGAGAAGTCATCCTCTGCGGACAGGGAAAGCAGCAGATGTCAGAGTGCCACTATCATACAGGTGTGTGTGTGTGTGTGTGTGTGTGTGTGGTGTGTGTGTGTGTGTGTGTGTGTGTGTGTGTGTGTGTGTGTGTGTGTGTGTGTGTGTGTGTGTGTGTGTGTGTGTGTGTGTGTGTGTGTGTGTGTGTGTGTGTGTGTGTGTGTGTGTGTGTGTGTGTTGCTTGGTAACAGGGGGTCAGGTTGGAGAGAGTAATCTCCTCAGGATTAAGAGTGCTGCTCCTGTGTTAATGTGACTGTCAATGAGAATTAAGTCCCCCGGACCGATCCTCTCCACCCTGCTCTCCTCTCCACCCCGCTCTCCTCTCTCCCCCCTCTCCTCCTGTCCTCCCTGTCACACTAATGACACCACTTTCTGTGGAGTGCCAGTGCGGGAGCGCTTAAAACAATGGGGAAATAATTACACTGTTTCAATACAGTACAAATTGCAGAGATGAGCAACGGGACAGCAGCGAGAGATATCAGGAAGAAGGGGAGAAGGAGGGAGGGGTTGAAACAAGGATGACTAACAATTACAACACGATAGGGGTTGGGTCTCATTACTGCAACCATTAACATGCACCAAGTAATTTTCCCCTCTTAGTTTGAGAGAGGGGGGAGAGAGAGAGGGGGGGGGGGGAGAGAGAGAGAGAGTGCCCATTCTGCAACACACCTACCCCCGTGCGCAATCTGCCCGGAGAGCCCGCCGGCACCTCATCTCTCTCACATATGTCTGAGTTCGTGCGCTCTCCTCTCTATTCCGAGCTGATCACGATCCATGCAAAGCGATTAGAGAAGGCGCGTGAAAAGAGCCCGGTCAGCGGATCAGCCTCGCGGATCACTCAATAGCTACTAAGCAGCGCGAAGCTTCGACCGATCGCTTATTTAACCTCACAGTGGTGAAACACTGCATCAATCTCACCTCAATCTTCCACACACACGGTCAGCGGAATTGACTGGCCGCTGGAATCGGCTCATCGTGTGTGCCATTTTTACGCATGGCAATCACGCGCAGAGAGGATATAATCCCTTGGAGATCAGGATTTTCTTTGGAAATCCTGCTGTTTTTTAAAGAAATAGCACCTCTGTCATAATGTATGTTTTCGCTGCACTGAGAGCCAGGAGTATCAAAGTTGCTTTCAGTCAGTCACCACCCTTTATCTCCCTCACTCTAAAGCCAAAGTCCCCCTCTGACCCCATCCTTGTTTCATTAGCCTATTGACCGTTCACAATGAAAAGACACAAGGAATTACAATATGAATCAATTAATGTAGTAAAAAAAACACCATCTTACCCAGATCTATAAACTCGATGGCTTGATCATGTGGAATTGTAAAGGATCCAGGTGACAGTAGCGCTTTCCCACTTTCTGCTTCAACTCCACTGATTCTTCCAATAAACAATCCTTTAGAGCCAGTTCCCGGAGCTCGTGAACAGTCACTCGGAGGCAGGGGTGAGGTATAGGGCTACTGCCACGCCAGAGTACCAGCCGTCCGGAGCCGGGTGAGAAAACAGAGCTCGCGTAATAGCGATGTGCTCCAATGTGCCATGATCTTGCCGCGTGCCATCTCAAAAGCACACTGAGGAGAAAGTCAGCAAAAGTGCGTTAATTCCCCCCAAAAGAGACACCGGGTTGTTGTTTTTTGCAGACACTCCATATAAGTTTATCCCCCTGGCTGCGCGCCACTGTCACGCAGAGGCGTTAAAGTCGCCAGAGAGATGCTGATGAGAGTGATGGTGTAGTGATGCAGGAGTGATAGTTGCGCTCCCGTCGCTCCTCCCGAGCAGGGATCGATTGGACATGAGAAATGCGATGCGAGCCCGTCTTCCCCATTCAGAACACGTGCAACAGCGCCCGCCCAGTTCACCAGCGCCCAAGTACACCCCCTCTCTTCCTCACTGATGTCATGTAGTTTACAAGTAGCTGGACTGTTTGGGTGGATGGGAAGAATGACAGAGAATGGGGGTTATGTGTCTGTATGTCCAAGGAGAGATCATTCGTACACTGCAAAGAGTTCAGCTTATCAAGTTGTGTTTGTTAGTTCATGGACAACTTTTAATGGTGCATGAACTTGTCATAAATTCTAAATGGGATATATACTTAAGAGTAAGATATACAAGGTCTCTGAAGGTTATGTACTGTTTCTTGGGCAAGTTGAGTCTCTTTTGGAGAGATAGATTTCGTAAATGGACCGCAGGCTGAACCCAAACTTGGGCCACCCGTAGCAAGGACTGAGCCCCTGTAAATGGCCGTTTTAACAAGTTAGCAGCATCCCAAGGTTATTTATTGTGTCTGAATGTGTATGAGTTTGCCTAATAGCGATCACAAGCAGGAGGTCATACCTTACACTTCACTGTTCACCTCTCCATTACTTGTGTATACCTTGAGTGTTGAGGAGGGGGTCCGGTGACTGACAGGTGATCAAGTCAATGACCCTCTCCTCATCACATAATAGCCAACCCCACCTCTTCACTTCGATCATGTTACAGATGCTGTCTGGATATCAATACTTGGTTCTGTGCTTGGCTAATACTCGCGGATGGTGTAAATCTAACCCCCCCACCACGATGTTAAACAGAATTTAATCACCGCCGCCTCTCCGTTACGCACCAGGAGACAGCCTATCAATTATTCCATCCCTAGAATATTCTAGTGTGTTGATGGCGATTGATTGCTTTGCGCTGTATTTGCAGTCGTTAAGACCTAGAGGAGGTCGATGTCTGCTAACGACCCAAGGTGAGGAGTATCTGATACGTTCAGATGTCTTCCTTGTTGCCAGCCGGGCTAGCTCCATACTGTGAGCCATATTGTGTCAGCGGATGCACATTTTGTTGGTAAAAGTTTAAAGATTTTTAAGTTTCCAAGACAAAAAAGAAAGCCATTCAAAGAATTGCAGGTCGACAACATGGAGCAAACTTGTCTGGAACCGAGCTCCCCTTAAGGCCTTTTTGCTACCTGCACATGAATACAAAAGTGTGTTATTTTAAACTGATTCATTCAGTCTTACATCTATTACATACTCATGTATCTGAGAACTGAGAACCAGCACTGTACACATTCAACTGAAGTGAAGATCCTACTTTTCAGATGTGCTTTTCTTTGTGCTTACTTTGCTGTCAAGTTTCCAGTTTGCAAACTAAATAAACAAAAGTGTGTAGAATGTACATTACAAATATAACAACAGGAAGCTGATAAAAAAACAATATATCCTGTCTAGACAAGTGTCTGAACCTGTGATGAGGTTTGGAGGCCTTTTATGTTAAAGTCAGTCAGCTAATGGATGCAACAGCACTTATCTGATCTCACCATCCTCAGAGTGTACAGATAGTATCAGAGGAAACCACATCATGTGACGTGAACGCAGACTTGAAAGTGTGAGGTTAAACGGTGTGAAATCTAATTTACTTCTCTTATACATCCCATTACAGGGCCATCTGTTTTCTTAACATGTTTTGCTGACTGTATAAGGAATGGCAGGTTGAAGGTATAGCAGATTTATCCTTGTATTGTGGCAAAGTGTATGCTGAAGTCCCCCTGGCGTGTCATGTATCACAGGAGCTGGGTTATAGGATCTCCTCTGGGATTATTCCCCCAATAATCATCGCCCAGGGGAGGGAAGAAAAACATTAAGGACATATCTGCTCATAACTTAGGGCATATTTCTTCCCACTAAATCAATATTCCTGCATTAATACCTTTGAGAGACACTGTTTTCTTGTTGTGGCGGGGAGTCAAAGGGACGCCTGCAAAATTGGCCAAGGTAAAATGAGCGGATTGGGATTGATTTGTCTGAGTCCGGTAGTGAGAAATGTTTGTCTTCTGAGATCAATCAGATTCGGCTAATGATCCCGTTGTAAAACAGAAAGATGACTAATTGTGAGATCATCTTTTGACAACAATTGAATAATAATGGGACATGCAGTTGTTTAATAATGGAGCTGAAAGTTCAGAATAACAGTGCGGATACTGTTGTTCCAGTGGAAATGTCAGCGAACTAAAATAGAGCACCAACAGTCAGATAAAAAATGGTGTGGAATATATCACGCTTTGAAGCCGAACTACTAATTTTGAAGTGTGAATCACGGCTCAGACGGTAATGACTTTACTCACTGCTTCAACCTCAGCCTTTGCTTGCAATCAGCTTTCATGTCCTTGAGAGTCTTCACTGCACAAGGTGTGCGTTAAGGGTGACAGAAATACGTCACTCAACATTCCCTATACGATTAGTCACGGCATCACTAAATAAAGGATACCCCAAATATGAGGGCTGGGTGGTACACCTCCAGTTGCAGCAAACATGTAACCAGTTAAATAATGATAGGTAGGAGAAAATACTGACTGGCAGCCAATGAAGCAAATGTAAAGTTATGCTGTGCACACATCGACCACACACAGAGGTGTTGTGCGTAAGAACGTGTGCACAGTGTTTTAATCATGCTTTATACTCTTTCTGTCAAAGGTGTGTTGTGTGATCGGTGTATTTCTCCTGCTTTCTATTCCACTCAATTGCTTCATTTTGGATACATCCATCAGGCAGGCTTTGCGCAACAACAAAAAAAAGAGAGTCCTCGGTCATTGATTTGGAACTGCCATGAAGGTTAATGAGAACAGGCATATTGGTTCCTCTTCTTTTGATCCCCCTCTGCATAGAGATTCTTCATTTCTTTACGAGGTCACCGGCAGTAACCCGAGCAGAGCCATAAATAGTGTCCATGCCAGACAGGCCCGGTGTCTGTCAATACTCCAAAAGTTCAGACACAACATCCGCAGTGAACGACTGCTGACATCACACTTGAGGTATCGGAGCAAACACACTTAGGCTACACAAACAGGGTCTCCTGGTGCACCCGTTGGATATATTTGTGATTGCTTTGTTCTCACTCTCCACACGGTTTGAGAGAGAGGTCTGTCAGGGGCGATCACACAGCGCAGGGGATCTTTGGCTTCATCTGTGGTGTTATACTGCCCCCGTGTGGTTAATGCGTGCAACTGTTAACTTGGTAGTTTTGAGGTCATCCAGATTTATTACAGTGACAGTAAAAACTGAACTAATGGGCTTTTTACGAAGAGCCCTTTCCCTCCTCAGACCTAGACTTACTAAAATAATGAAAGCCACAGCAGCACAGAGCTGTCTGGTGTCAGCAAGAACCGCCAACACAGAGGATTCACTTTTCCCCCTCCAAGGTCAGACTTCAAAAGATGATGGATTAAATTAAGATGGATTAAATCTCTGATGCCTAGAATGGCCAGCACAGACAGGAAGACATACTTCAGCATTTTTAAAGAATTATTTATTTGAAAATATTACACAGCTTCTGAATATGAAATCGCCTACAAGGCAAGCGAAACCCTGACCGAAAAGGTCCGACTGAGTTCAACTGGGTTTTCATCGATAAATAAAACATCAAGACTCAGGAGAGGCCAATGAAATCACTCAAAATACTGTTGTGCATTGCATCAGAGCGCATGCAAATTGTGCTTATTTTATTTGAGTAGAATTGACTGTAAAATATAAAACTGACAGCATTCAAAACACTTTAGGTAAGGTAACGGAACAGGAGCAGCACCCTCATTGTTTGATCATACTGGTAATACATACAACTAACAATAAGAATAGATAGATGTCTGTAGACATACGTTTAAATTATAAAAGTGACAAGTGTAAAAGAAAACAAAGTAAATTGCAAATAACGACGCAAAATTGAAGAATAATTTTACAAGTCAGACAAATATTTTTGATAAAAGCAACATAAGTTTCATCATGTTGCATAAACCAATGTAGTGTTGAAGTTCAATGACTAATACTTGAATGTATGTTTCAGAACACTCACTTTGAATGTCTTTGAAAGTATTGCTGTACAAATGCTAATACTGATATAAAAGAAGATCCATCTTGGAGTGTCTCACTTACTTTCTGTCAATTAATTTTAGAGTTATTAACGTTTGAGATAACTGAAATTCACATAACAAACTAACTGCAAGAGTGCATGTGAATAGTGCACATCATATTAGACTGATGTAAGCTGGCTGTGTTCAGAAACACTGGTGCGATTGTCAACGGCTCGCATCAAGGTGACACTGATCAAATGTGACAAGATGTCGCAAGTAAAGGGACGCCGTAACAGCTGCTCATTAGCTAACTTTGTCGCTGCGGAATGAAGTACACGCAGCGGAGGTAATGAAGAAACATAGGACGCTTCTTATCGCTCTCCAGATGCCTGGACTGCACACACCTCATCCTTTAACTGATTTGACACTAATAGAGCTGGTGGAGGCGATTCAACTCCGACTTGTCCGCCATATTGCTTTCACTCATCCAGACCTGTCAAAGCTGCGGAGAGGAGGTGACAAATATTCACCGCTGATGGATCAGTTTAAAAATAACTTTAAAAATCTGCCGATGTGAAGAGGTCTTTCAATAGAAAGAGTTGGCAGCTTTATGTTAAACGTTCTTCAGGTGTCTGTGTCCCAAACTCACAGAGACTCTAGAGTTCATCGTGAAGGGAGCGACGCCTCCATTTGGGATGGTGAGTGACGTAATCAGCCGCTTCCAGCACGAGGCGCATGAACTCCCCCACGTCGAAGGAGTAGTTGGTGAACTTTGGGTGGTCCCCGATGGTCGGATGGTGACCCTGAGGGAAGTCAAAGAGAGACGTTTAAGCATTAGATAGACAATATGAAAGCTAAACAAAAACATTGATATGTAGAAATCAAATATAATATAATTTTACAAAAGAACCTAGATATATTGCTACGGATGAGCAGTAATCC